TCGGGGCGGTTTGTGCAGCTCCCGCGAGGTTTGGGTGCCCCGCCAGGGTAAGGTGACAGTGATGAAAGCTGCGTGGCTTTGCCTTTCAGCCAAAGGATGAAGGGCCCGAAGGAGCCGTTTTTTGTGAAGTTTGTAAAGGCTTCTGGAAGCTCGGAGTATTTCTATAAAGCTCTCGAGGTAGGTGGGTTTGATAGCCTTTTTTTCAAGGAGCTTGCTGAATTTTATTTTCTATGGGTGCCCCGCCAGGGTAAGGTGACAGTGATGAAAGCTGCGTGGCTTTGCCTTTCAGCCAAAGGATGAAGGGCCCGAAGGAGCCGTTTTTTGTGAAGTTTGTAAAGGCTTCTGGAAGCTCGGAGTATTTCTATAAAGCTCTCGAGGTAGGTGGGTTTGATAGCCTTTTTTTCAAGGAGCTTGCTGAATTTTATTTTCTATATAAATGTCTTCTGTGGTTGTCAATAGATGTCATACATTTCTATGCACCTGTAAATAAAAACACATTTCAGTAGTAGAGGTGCATGATTACTCCTAGAACAAGAAGCACTTCTTTCACATTTCACATACTACTTGTCTCATGACTCTGCAGGCCTGATGTCTTCTGAAGAGCCTAAAAACTGCAGATGAGCTCTACAAAGAGCAGCTGCCCAGTATAGCAAATAGTACCCTGGGAGGGCTTCTCTCTGGGGGAGGAGGCAGTAAGGGGAGGGAGGAGTGAATAAGCATCTTTAGTCTCTCCAGAAAAACTATAACATTTAGTGAAGTAACATATAGCTTGGCAGGTCCAGATGGAGGACACTCATCTACTGAAAAATTAGTGAGGATAGCGTTGATATTTTGTTCTCTTGGAAGTCAGTGGTAGCTAAAGGCACTGTCTGGCAGGATCAGGTCCTGAAGCTTTGTATGGTGAACATACAGTTCTGATTATTTTGAAGAGCTGGGGAAAAAATACAGGGGAAGACGTTAGCCACTGCTACTACTACTACTCTTGCAGCATATTTTTGTTGTAAGCTGTTACGAGTAGGTGTGCTTTTGTAGTTTTCATAGGATTGACTTTGTAGTTTCTGAATTAAATAAATGTAATTGTGTGCTGTTTGCCTGCAGTCTATAAAAGAATTTCAGTCAGAAGAACATCTCCAGATCCTCGAAGAAGAAGCAGCGCTCAATATAAAAGAAAATGATAAATCCCTTTACATCTGTGATCCTTTTGAAGGCAGTGTTTTTAATCATCTCAAAAAGGTTTGCTACTCACCAATTTACTTTCAATGATGTTCGGTCTTCTGTAGCAATACTCGTGTCCATAATTTGTATTCAGCATGTTTTCCTGCCATGAATATAGTAGTATGTGTGTTTGTAGCAAAATAGTTAAAATTTCATTGCATTGTCTATTTAGGGAAGAGGAGGATTGGGAAAATGTAAAAACTGTGAAGCAAGCAAAAAGTAAACGTGGTGGTCAGTTCTGATTCTACTGTGGCTTCTCACTTTATTTGCTTCTCTAGGACAGTAATTATGTTTGACCTTGAAAAGCAAATGCGGTGGTCAGTTTTGATTCTGCTGTGGCCAGTGAGCTGCTTCTCACTTTATTTGCATCTCTAGGACAGTAATTATGTTTGACCTCCAGCAGACAAAGTTAGGCTTGCAGAAATTCAGTGGCTGTAGCATCTGCTGCCTTAACCAAGACCAGAAAACATACAAAGGTTGTACTGAGAATCTGCAACAAAAAGTGAAAAATTGAAAACTCTTCAGCTATTTGGAGCTGCCGAAGGAGGGCAGGCAGTAATCCTGCCCTCTGCAGTATCCTGAGACAAGGAAAGCTTTGTGTACCTCAGTGTGTCTTTCGGCTAACCTTTGTCTTTTGTGTGTTATTTTATTGCAGCTTGGCTGCAGAATCGTTGGCCCGCAGGCAGTGCTGTATTGCATGCAGTCGCAGCGATGTGTGCCAAGAGCGGAGTATCCTGTGTTTAATATGACCATGGCTGATGTCACGATATCCTGCACCAGCCTTGAGAAGGATGTCAGGGTAATAGTCCAGAATGGTTGTTTTCTGTGGCATTTGCTTCTGTTGGCTTATAACTAGGCCATTATTCTTACTAAATAACATATAAGTCTACCAATACATTTCTATATACAGACTCCGTAGACTGTAATTTGTTACATACATTCTTACTAAAAATGTATATATTGTATGTATACATATTTGTGGTGTGTAATATACACATATGTATGTTACATAGATATACACCTAAAAGGCATTCTCACTACTGTAGGATTCATATATCTTTTACAGATTTATTAACTAGCTTCATCTTTAGGTAGCTGAATTAGCTTGCTAGTTTGTTTGCAGCTGTCATGCTACAGCTAGAGTACTTTGTTTCTGGCTACTCAAACTACGACATAAAGTTTTAATATCTAGTCAGCCGTGGTTTATCTTGAGTAGCTTAATTTAAATCTTTTATCATAAAAGCTTTCTTTGTATTTTTACCAACTTTGCTTTCTAGTTTATACTACCTAAGCTGTCAATTGTCAGTAAATTTTCAGAGCTATACTATGATTTTGATATCTTTATTAAGGGTAAACCTTTTATATGCAGCTTCTCAAAAATAAAATGGAATTGGTATCTGATAATGTCTTCCTTGCATACTGATTTTTAGATTTCCAAACAGATTTTTAGGAAAAATCCTGAAGAATTGAAATCGGTGGGGTTTTGTTTGTTGCATATGATTTAGGTTATTCTTGTTTGAAGATTTTGTCTAATTTCTTTTCTCACTCAGGAAGAAGTTCATAAATATGTGCAGATGATGGGTGGCCGTGTGTACAGAGATCTCAATGTATCAGTAACTCACCTTATAGCTGGAGAAGTTGGTAGTAAGAAATACTTAGTAGCCGCTTCTCTAAAAAAACCTATTTTGCTGCCTTCCTGGGTTAAGACGCTGTGGGATAAGTCTCAACAAAGGTAAAAAAAAAAAGAACAAAATAACCCTGCTTAGTTTGTATTGTGGGCTGCTAAATTTTTTGGAGACTTTTTTTCCAGGTGATTTTACTTTGAAGAAAAATATATTTTATTTTTCTTTTCCCCGGCTTTTTCTCCCTTAGCATAATTAGATATACTGACATTAACATGGAAGACTACGCCTGTCCCGTGTTCCTTGGCTGTACGATTTGCGTAACTGGCTTAAGTAGTTCAGACAGGAAAGAAGTCCAGCGCCTCACCGTTGAACACGGGGGCCAGTATACTGGGCAGCTGAAGATGAACGAATGTACCCACCTCATCGTTCAAGAGCCAAAAGGTAGAACTTGGAGGGGAAATACTGTTTTCCACTCTTGAGTTGAAGTAATTATGCCTAAATGTAAGGATTTGACCTTCTCTGTGTCTGTTTCAGTGTTGCTTTTGCTGCTTCTGTTCAGGGAAGTACTGTCAGTGGGAGGAGTAACACAGAATATTGCACTCTAAAAGCACTTGAAAGGAGAACAAATGAGATTTGCAAAAATGGAATGAAATCTCTCTCTTGCCTATTGGAAAGGATAAAGGGTTGTAGTTTGATTATGAGAAGAATGGATTTGTTTTTTCCCCTTTCCGCTTTCCTTTTCCTTCTCTATGGGGTAGTATTCTTCCCTATCTGCCTCCCCAGCACAGCCTGTGGTTTAAAGCCCTTAGATGTTATGCAGTCACTGTTTTTTATGGCAAAGGAGTTGATGCAGTTCGTTTATAAAGCCTTCTAAGGCATAAAAAAAGTGAGACATTTCAATTGAAGGATCTTCTGGGTATATGTATGCAAAGAACAGTATGCAATGCCTCTGTTTCATAGCCTGGCAAATGAAAACTTTGGGACAGGACAGTTGTGTTATTTGATTTTTGTTGTTGTTGTTAACATACGCTGATGTTGGCTGCCCTTTTTGATTCATTTTTGTTTGATATAAGAGCATTTGTGAAACCGTCTTGTAGGTGGGTTTTACCTTAAGCAAGATGAAATACCCTTAGCAGTATGGTTAGTGGAAAGATAATCTCGCTTAAAGGGCTGCACAAATTGTACATTGGGTTTTTGCACTGAAACAAATATGTTATTGAAACTGTATAGCGTCCTCTGTAAATGACAAGTGGCCATATTACTGTTTTTACTTGTAAAATGTGTGTCTTGCAGACTCTTCTGACAGCTTTTTTTTTTGCCTTTCAGATGGAAACTAGAGTTCTAGGATAGTTTAAAGATTGAGAGTAGGCAACAAATAGTTCAGTGCAGCATCTTTTAGTGTTTAGTTCTGTGTGTGGTCAGTGGGTTTGCCTTTACTGGCAGCAAATAATATAACTTGTACATTGTCATAACTTCATGATGCAGCATGAACTGTCACTTGGAACTAGAATTAAAACTTAATTTGGTAATCGCCATTTCCAAAATCAGTTTCCATTTGAATATATATATATATATTTATGTTTTGAGTTCTCAATTTTAAGCATTCATATTCTAGTAACTTGTCTTTTTTTCTTTTTGTCTATATTTGAAAGGTCAGAAATATGAATGTGCCAAGAAGTGGAATGTGCACTGTGTTTCTGTGCAGTGGTTTTCTGACAGTATTGAGAAGGGCTTCTCTCAGGATGAGGCAATGTACAAAGTAGAGACCGGATCAAAACTAAGTAGTACACCCAGTACATCAACACCCACAAATCATACCAGCAAGCCCGACAGTAAGAAAGACTTTTTGATATATGTGAAAAGCGGGAAGCATTTGGGGTAAAAAGAAAGATTTATTTTAAACTTAACAGGTGCTGCCTGTGTTTACAGTGCTAATATTTGGATGACTTGGGTTCTGATTCTGTTTTGTAATTTTATGCACACTATATCTTCTACCACATGACGATTTAAGCATGTGAATAACTTTTAAAAGTCCACTTGAATTAGGGCATGTTATTGTGTGCCTGGGAGTTGGTACTGGGTAGCTGTGACTAATAAGTCCTAAAAAGTAGGACTGTTGATGCTTTTGCGATTTAAAACAAGTACCTTGTTTAATCAAATTAAGCCTTACCCTGCCTCAGAGGGAGCTTCGATGCTATTTTTTTTAATTTATTGATTGCTGCAAATAATGGGAAAGTTCAAGAATGTTTTATAAGCAAACATGGCAGCAGGAAAGGCAGCTTTAAAAGTATATTTTTACAAATACCTGTTACTGACTTCAGGAAGTAGCCCACGAGGCAGGGCTGTGTTAGTGCTCCCAGTTAGAGCACTGGGAGTTCAAGCCTTTTTTCATAGCATGACAAAATCCCATGTGACAGTTTGTGTTTAGTTTGGTTTCTAGTGGCAAAAGACAACCAAAAACTAATGCATCTCTTCTATTTTAATTTTATTTAAAGATCATGCTCTTTCGGACGTCAGCCACATTTCCAATATCAATTTGAGTGGTGTTAATGAAACTGCATGTAGCTCTGCTACGAGCAGCAGGCTGGATCCTTCTCCTGATGAGCTGGGAAGCTTGGATATAAGTTCTTTTCGAGCCCCTGAAGATTTGCTAGATGGGTGTCGAGTATGTTTTAACAATGTACACTTTGCAATGTTTGGTCTTACCCTATGCAAGGAGCTAGTTTTGAGTCACTGGTACTTGCTGCTAGAGTAAATAATGTTGTTTCCTTTCCTATTTTTTTTTCCAAGTCGCATGCTGTAACTCGAGATGTATGAATATACCTCTGTGTGTGTGTGTGTTTGTGTATATATATATATGTATATATATGTATAAATATATGTATATTTCCATATGTATTTTAAGTACTATAGTGAACGTGTTCAAGAATGGTTTTTGTCATGTTGTACAACTTCCATGCATAACCTTGGGCTGGAGGTTGGTATCTGAGCTTTTCTGTATGAGAAGATAAGTGCTTAATATTGGAGTAATTACTTGGTGTTTTTTGCTGCATCTCAGAAGCTGCATCACTTCTGTGGGTGTGTTCTACAGCAGGCTTAACAAATTATACCAAAATATTGTTCTTAAAAGTTAAAAAAGCCTTTTTTGTTGTTTTGTTCCTGGTTTTTCTTTGTAGATCTATCTGTGTGGCTTCAGTGGCAGGAAGTTAGATAAGATGAGAAGGCTCATTAACTGTGGTGGTGGTGTTCGATTTAATCAACTTAATGAAGATGTCACCCATGTTATTTTAGGGGAAGATAATGATGACCTGAAACACTTCTTGGACAAGACAACTCACAGGTTCTGATAACTGTTTTGCTCCAGGGCTTTTTCTGCATTATTCCTCTTCTCCCTGCCTCTATAAACAAGAAAAATTGCGTTTAACAATCTAAACAATTATTGATTTAAATGACAAGACCTCTGAAGTTACGTTCACCAAAATGTCCTCGCAGTACTCTTTCTTGTATGCTCTGGAGTACTGTAGTTTTCTGGTAGCCATTAATCATCTCAGTCAATAGAAAAGAAATATTCTTAAATGTTAATTCCTCTCGTCTCCAGTGGTGTTTAATATGTTGTGGAGGAAGGCTTTGTGCTTGCAACAGCAGATATAAATTATGTTATAGGAAATTCTGTGTTCTCAGACTGAAAGAATTAAGAAATCTTCAGTTCTGTAGAGTGCACTAGGCTTGCTTGGTCTTGGAGTAGCTATCTTCAGGGATACTGGTAGCTTATAGCATGGGGAAGAAGAAATACAGCTCTGAAACCTGCTGTAAGTTATTAGTATAACATTTTGTCTTCTAGGCCTAACGTAGTGACAGCAAAATGGTTGCTGGATACATTCAGTAAAGGCTTTCTACTTCCAGTCGAGCAATACATTCCTCTAAATTACCAGCTGACAGAAAATCCAATTTTGGAGCAAACAGGAGTAAAATCGATTCTTCCCAAAAATAACAGTCTCTTGAAGAAAGAAACTACAGACATAATGCACCAGAAAGCTGATGAAGATGACTTCCTCTCTCAATATGTAAATAATGATTCTACGTTAGGTAGGTTCTAGGCTAAACATGCTATAGAAGGTTTAACTGCTCAGAGTTAGAATTTATTTGTATAGCAGTTGAAATTTGAATTTTGCAGTGTTTACTCCTTAAAGCTAGCCCCATTTAATGGGTTGATTTCTGTATCATATTTTAAAAACCAAATTAGAAGAGACCCAGAGGTTTTAAGTAAAACCTGGTTGAAAACAAAGAATACTGGATTTCTGTTTCTCTGGAACTATTTTGAATTGTTTGCCAATTTTTGTCAATTTATTTTATTTATTTATTTTTTTAATTTCAGTTGAAGTTGAAAAAGTAACATCTGGTAACTTCAATGATGTTACTCACTTGACTCTTCAAGAGGAGAATCAGTCTTCTGTGTGTAACGGTTCCTTGGCAGAGGCTTCTTCAGCGGTTGAAGGTCACTTATTTGTCAAAAAGAGATTTCTTCTCTTGGGTTTTGGTGAAGAAGAGGAGTCCTGCATTGCAGATCTTATAAAGGAGAATGCTGGCAAAATTGTGCAGCCACAAAGCAGAAGTGTTGCGGACTATGCTGTGGTGCCCTTGTTGGGGTGCACTGTGAAGCCAACTGTGGGAGATGTTGTCACTAATACATGGCTGGTAAGTGAGTTCAGCCTTTGGTTCAGGAGGTCAAAAGGCATCTGCATTACAAATATGTATCCTGTCAGACTGAAGAGGTACTCGTGACTTAGATGTGAGTGAGACCTTGAGAGATTAAGCCCAGTTTCATCTGAAATGTACCAAATGGAAGGTGCTTTAATGCTGCTGCTGCCTTAAGGAATTGTTCGTCTGTTTCGCTTATTTTGTACAGGCTCGTTGAACAGGGCTTTCATGACACAAAGACTTCTCGCATGAGGTTCTGGCAGCACTTTAAATAATGAGCTGTTGCATGAGCAGCTGACTAATAACGATTATGTTTGATGTCTTTGGACTTACTTTCTCATGCTTCATGCTTTCCACAGATTTCTCTGTCTTATGACAGAAAAGCAAGTCAGCTTTCCAACTGAAGCTGAAAAAAAAAAAGTGTTTTTAGCCAGAGAATGCATGTGACAGACTGAAAACCATTCAGTGACTTACTGCTTTTCAGTACTAGAGAACTGGCTCTGAACTAAGTTATGCAAACCCCCAAGTGCTTTAAGGGAGCCTCCAGAGTCTTAAGAGTAGTAACTGAAAACTGTGACTAATTCTTTAGTACATCAAACCTTAAAATGATCTAGGAAAGAGCTAAAGTAGTTTGTGTCAAGTTTAATGGCGGAAGCAGGACTGCTTGTTAAGTCCATAAATGCTCTGATGCAATTGATGAACTATTGCTGGATTTTATTGTTGTTTGGTTTGATTTTCATTTTTATTTATTTCATTGTCTTTAAGATAACGTGTGTGGAACAGCAGCTCCTTTTAGATCCCCAATCCAGTCCACTGTTCACACCAGTCCCAGTAATGGAAGGAGTCACCCCTCTGGAAGGTTGTGTTCTTTCTTTTAGCCAGTTCACTGGTGCAGAGAGAGACTCCCTGGTTTATTTGGCAGGATTGCTAGGAGCAAGGTATGTCTCCTGTCCCGTTTGGACTTGTCCTCAGAATGTTTTACTTGTTTTACTCCTCCTTGTACAGAACTAACAAAATTTATAGTTAAAATTCTTTGGGATTCTATTTACACACAAAACCTAATGGTGAAACAATTAGATAATGTTATGCAGGTCTTTATTTCGCTCTGCTCTGAGAAGCTTGTATTTTCTCTTCACACAGCTTAATTTCTACCAAGTCTTATATTTCCTGCTGGCTGACTTGCAGTAACTTTTTACTCTGCTCTAGTTATCATCCCTTCTGAGTTGCTATTCAAAGCTATGCAGCTCTTTCTGTGAACTACTCACAGAATTAAGAGAGAATTTAAGTTGTCTGGAAAAGAACTGTGTGTCTCAAACTCCTGTGAAGCAAAAATGGAAGCTAGGTTGTCTCAGACTGTGCTTTTGACACAGAAATGGAGCCAACCTCCTGAGTAAGGAATAGAGTTAGTTTTATGATGTCTTTTCCTAAGCCTGTATGGAATTGGGATGAGAAACTCAGGTGTTTTGTGGCGATATGAACGAGAGATTGAGTAATTGAAATAGAAGGAGACTAGATGAGCTAGTTTCATTCATTACTAGTTCAGTAATGCCTAGCAGTGATAGTTCGTTCGTTCAGTAATGCCTAGCAGTGATAGTTCACGTTTCGTAGAGGCTGGGGTGCAGAATTGCTTGCTCCCAATTCAGAAGGATTTTTGAGACTTAATCCAGACTTAATCTTGGAATGGAAAAGCTATGCAATTTAGTCACAGAGTATCGTTCGACTTGTAGTCTGTTTGAATTAAGCTTTTTGACAGTGTGTTCAGTCCTGCTACCATCTGGAGGATTAGTTAGCTCCCTTGTGATGAGAGCAAATTGCAGCTAATATGAAGAAAACTTGTTCATTTGGAAATTATGCTTATTGGCTTGAGAATGGAATCCAGCCTGGTGCTTCACTCCTGTAGAACACTATTCCCATTTCTAATTAATACGCTGAGCCTGTGTGGGAACATGAAGAGTATAAGAAGTGATCTTTTTCCGTAGTGATTGAAGCAAAATATTACTGTTTAACAGGATTTTTTTTGCTGCTTTTTGTTGTTGGGTGTGTTTGAGCCTGGGTTTGTTTGTTTTCTTCTTTTTCCTTTGCTTGTAGATGTAGGTTCAGTTGTGAAATGCTAAGTAGCAATTCTATTGATTCTCCTTCTATTGCTTGAGCATATTTTGTAGTATTACAAATTTCTCCTAGGTTAATCTTGTGTACGACTAAGCAAACTTTTTATTCATCTGATTCTAGAGTACAAGAATTCTTTGTGCGAAGAGCGAATGCAAAAAAAGGAATGTTTGCCAGCACCCATCTGGTGGTGAAGGAACCAGATGGTTCCAAGTATGAAGCTGCAAAGAAGTGGAGTTTGCCGGCAGTCACCGTAGCTTGGCTTTTGCAGTCTGCAAGGACAGGAAAGAGGGCAGATGAAAGCAAGTTTTTAGTTGAAAAAGCAGATGCTGAAGGTTGGTTATTTGCAAGCTAGGAAAAATTGTCTTGTATGGTTGTGTCATTAATCTGTTCAGAATGCTAATGCAGTTATTTTTGATCCCTAAAATCTTCAAAAAATGAAAACTAAGAAATGTTTTTCTAAGTTCTGGGGATTTTTTTTCCTCTTTATTTTTTTTTCTTTTTTTCCCCTTGAGCTGAGCTGTGATTAGAGAAATGACTGTGCATGTTCTCTAGAAGTTTCTTGGAGCCAGCAGAGACCTGTGGCTACCAGTTAGTTGAGAACCAAGCTTAGTGACTTGGCTTCATTCTTTGATGTCAAAAAAAAAGGGTGTGGGGGAAACTTTTGAGCAGTAAAATCTAAAATAGTTCTAGCTAGTTTTTTGAATGAGCCATAAAACATGAGTTGTATTAATTAGTGTTTGCAATGTGTAAAGAGCTGATTCATGGCTGAATCTGCTCCTGTTGATCCAAAGTTGGAACTGTATGTGGTGGCCTAAAGGGGTGTAATTCAGAATTTCATGAATATAAAGGAGAACTATACTTCATGAAAAGTGAATAACCAAGAAGCAGGAGTTATCTTTGACTTTAGATAGAAGGGTTTATTTTGTATTTCTTTTACAGCTGCTGTAATCTTGTGTAACCAAGCTTGTAACCAACTGCTTTTTTGATAGTTGCTGCATGGACATACATGAATATATGTATATACAGAACTAAAAACAAGAGGAGGATAGATGCCGCTATTTTTAGATGCTGAAGGTCAAGCTCAGTAGCACTGTAATTCAGACTAGGATATGCTAGAAAAAGCTTTTTTGATACTGTCCCTTGAAATAAAATCCTGTCTTCATTTGAGAGCATTTTTTGGGAGTATTGTATATATATTAGATATTTTAAGGAAGAAAACTCAGATGAGTGAAGTTATCCTTTAACTAAAAATATATGCAAGATCTGTGCTCAAAAACAAAATTAGATTGCTTGCTAATGTCTTCTTTGTTTCCTATAAAGATAAGGAGAGCTTTGTTGCTCCACTTAGCAAGACACCAGCAACTGTTAGATCTTCTGACTCTCCAGAACAACCTACCTATCTGCTTGAAGCTGGAAAAAAGCCACCTGTGACCCCTCTTGATATCAACAGGTTCCAGAGCAAAGCTTTCCAAACTGTCATCTCCCATCACATTGGAAAGAAGACAACCCCTTTTGCAGAAGGGGCACTGCCACAGAAAGAACCATCTTTACACCTCGATACGCCATCGAAATTTCTTTCAAAGGACAAGTTGTTCAAGCCCTCTTTTGATGTAAAGGTGAAATTCTTTGCAACTTTTCAACTTTTTAAAGTCATAGAGCCAGTAAGATTAGAAATATTCTTAAAACAGCACAGAAATCCATGCTTATCTTTTCTGTGGATTTCAGCTGCACTTGCTGGCTGCTCCTGTAGTCCACACTTGTGGTTTATGAGTATGAAATCCTAGCAGAGTTGATATATGTGAAACTTGCTCTTGAGCTCTTGAGTTGTAGTGCATACCTGCAAGTCAGCCTGTTGCTTGTTTCTTGTAGGATGCTCTGGCAGCTTTGGAAACTCCAGGAAGTCTCTGTCAAAAGTCCAGGAAGTTGAGTACTCCCCTTTCTGAAGTCATTGGCCGAAACTTGAAATTGGCCCTGGCAAACAGCACGCGGCACACGGTAGCTCTCACTAGCAGCCCTCAGTTGAAGTCTGCACAACCAGAAGCGGTAGGAAGATTTGTTTCTGGAATTTTTTGGAGCGTAGGCTTCATTAAGAAAATGCTGTCATTTTGTGATTTATTTTATTTATTTATTTTAGTTTTAAGTTATAAAGGCATTTGCGAATCGTGATGATCTTCGTATTCTTTTGCGATGTGTTTGGGTGGAAATCTGTATGATTGCGTGTTCTTCAGTGTTAATAAAAGTAACCTAGAAGGCTTTTCTAAGCCTAGAAGGCTTATTCCACTATTTGCTCTGCTATCCTGAATGCTAAGCAGTTTCTTGACATTGAAATATATAAATAGGAATCTATATATCATAGTTTTCTTAATATCAGAATGGGACATAAACAGGACTTACTCTGTAGTCTGAGACAAAAGATAACATTTTTGATTCATCTTTTCTCTTTTCCTGTCCTCTGCAAGATGTTGTTCTTCTGTTTGCTAGCAGGCACAAGATACGATCAGTTGCTTACTCCCTCATAAAGATATGCTATGTTCATTTTGCTAGCAGTGTTGTTTCACCCTCAGTCCTTATCTGCTTGCTTTCTTGTATAAATGTCTAACCTATCTTAATGAGAGAAAACAGAAAGAAGCAGCAGGAAAAATGGGAGCATTTATGTACTGCTTCTAGTACGTTGTGTCCTACAGAGGGGGAGTAAGAAAGCAAATTGCATTCAGCTAGGGAAGGCCCTCACCTCTTTTTTGTAGCTCCTTATTCTGATCCTTTTCACTTCAGTTTTGCTGTTGTATAAAATTGCTGATAGAGAAGTCTTCCAGACGTGACTCTCCCCTGTTTCTCCTTGCAGCTTGAACAAGAAGATCCCAAGCCTTTGGCTGATGTTGTTATATGTGTTAGTAAAAAGCTCAGTAAGAAGCAAAGTGAACTGAATGCAGTAGCAGCTTCTCTTGGGGCAGACTACAGGTATCAACTGATGCAAGTAGCTTCTGAACTAATGCACTGATATGACTTGTAATAAATCTGAGTCTTGACCTTCCAATATTCTTGTATATAAGAACTTTTCCTTTAAACGTTAAGTTTTACGACGTTAGTCAACTTCCATTTCTATTGCAAAGTAAGGCTGTCTGTTTTACTGTCTCCATATTCTTGGTAAGTCTGTCTTAGGAATTCTGTTAGTCCGTTTGTCCTGAAGTTTTCCGTATTTGCAGAAAGCTGTTGTTCAAAAAAGAACAGAAAAGAAAAGCAATAAAACTTCTTCGACTCTTGAGCTCTTGAGTAAATGAAAATTTACGTC